TGAATCTCACTTCATCTTTCTGACCTTGGTAATGAGCAGGCATCCAGTCTAAGAGGAAAGGAGATAGATTAGGGCTCCCAGCCAGACAGGTGAATCATGAACCAGTCCCAGCCCTAGCTGCTTCCCTTCATGAGCCTGGCGCCATCCTCGCCCCAGTGCTGGCATGGGGGTGACTTTCTGGGCCAACTGGGGTCAGATTAGAGGCTGGGAGGCATGCAGGGTCTCCTCTGAAAACCGGCAAGGTATGTGTTGCTGGTTAAAGGCAAACTGTATGGAGTAATAACTGACTGTTCAGCTGAGAAAATGATGCTTGACTGGCAGGCCCAGGGCTGCCCCGAACCTCCACAGCATCATTCACACAGTGCACTTTGACCCATTTCCTGCAGGTCTGCCTTCAATGGGGGGGTCGTGCTTTCCCCATTTTTTCTTCAGGAACAACCAGAAAATGACCACCACCGAGAGCTGAGAGGACCCTGGTGTAGACACAACTACAGTATCTGAGCTAAAGGCAGGCCACAAAGAAGGAACTATAACACAGGAGAACGAGCATGGACCGTGGAGTCAGTTCTGGGTTTTAATCCTGGCTCTGCCATGTCCTTGCTAATGTATCTGGGGTCAGTTAGCCTCCCTAAACCTCTATTTCCTTCTCTGTATATGGGGATCACAGGACCTGCTCCACAGAGCTGCTGTAAGCATTGCACAAGAGAACGATATAAAATGGGAAACATGTCACTTGGCAGCCTACGGGGCCCAGAGTCACTGAAAACAGGAATCCTGAGTTCATGTGCAACTCAACGGGGCCAACTTGATGCCCCAGTGGCTGCAGCCCAGTCTCCCTCCTCTCCTGTGGATCCACTCCACATCTGTGTCTACACAATCCCGTATCTCATATCATTTCGTTTGGAAATGGAAAAGTTAAACTTCAGCCATGGCATTTATTAGCTGCCTGAGCTCAGGCAAATAGGCTTCAACTCTGTGCTCTGATTTATAAATTATCTGTGAGATGAAGGTAATAAAACTTCTCTCTCCAGCCCACAGGGTTGTTGTGAGGAGTGCCAGCATGCCGCCATCTACAAAGCTCTACGGAAAACCGAGTTCCCTCCTCCTCTTATTACGGGCGCCCAAGGCTTGAGTGGAGTTTGGAGCACAAAGGCACACTCAGTCCTGGTGGCCTGTTGATATGGGGGAAGGAACGGGCCCTGCAAACATTAGGAAGACCAATGAGCATTTCAGAGGCCACAGAGACAAGCAGGCTGAGCGATCACTATTTGCAAATCCACACTAATTGGTCATTACAGAGAGAGCGGTACCAGTCCACTGCAAATTTCCCACAGTTCATTTTTAATCATGCACCAATCCCTCTTAAACTCCCTCCTCCCTGTTACTTCATTCTCCAGCACTAACAGATAGAATAAGGGTCGCACAGGAGTATTTCTGAGAAACGTCATATCCAACAGCTATAGAAAGCGATTTCTCAGAGCCATGTGGGGGAGACCGCCACGTGTGTGGGCTGAGGGTACCGCCTGGCACACTTGCAGAACGCAACGGCAGAACATAGTACGAGTCCATTCCTCTCCTGCTCTTCCCCCTCCTCTAATGTCATCGAGTGGATGGTGTTTTAATGTGCTCATGGAAGGATACTCGCCTGTCCCAGGGCTGCTGCTCTTGGGATTGACACAGGGTAGTACAGATGGGGCTGCCTTATTTATGCCACTGCAGGGTCACTGGTAGGTGAATACCTGGCTGTCTGCCCATGCCGTGAGGCCCAACAGGCCTCAGGAATGTGCTGAGCCCCAACAGTGGCAAAGAAACCCCTAATGGCTTTGTACCTCTTATGGATCCAGTGCTGAGTTTACTGCGTGTTAGTCCTTTAGCAAATGTTTTCATAGGCCAGGCATTAACACTAGGCATCAAAGATACAGGGGTGTTAAAAACCAGACATGATCCCAGCCCTTTCGGGGCCTACTATCTGGGGAAGAGACAGGCCTTTAGCAGCTCATCACACAAAGGCATGAAAGGTTATACTCCGCAGTGAGTTTACTGAAGAAATGTATGTGATCCTACGGGAACATATAACAAAGGAACTCCTGCCAGATGATGACGCCAAATGTTTCTGTGAGTAAACAAAGCTTAAGCAAAAGAACACAGAATTAATTAGCAACAGGGCAGGGAACAGAATCTAATAGAAAAAAATTATTCCCGGTGGGAGGGAAGGAATAGAGTGCATCTGAAGTGAGTGGGCAATGGTGCTGGTGGTACAAGATGACACTGAAGGAGGCAGGGGCCAGACTGTGCAGGGATATGAGACTCAGTTACATGGACAACCACTGAAGGTTTTATCCGGAGAAAGGGGGATGGTGCAGTTGGGCTTGCTTGTGGGAAAGCTGATTCATGTGACCGATGGAGAACAGGACCTGGGGGAGGAAAGGTGACAGAGCAGAAGGGAAGAGATTGGTCTGGAAAGAAATTGCTGTTATGCTGGGTAAAGATCGCAAAGCTTAGAATGAGAAGGTGGCCAGGGCAAAGGAGAGCAGCTAGAATGTGGAGTGGTCAGGTACAGGGGACGGGGGAGGGACCTGCCAAAGACAGACTCTTGGCTCTGGGTGAGCAACTAAGTAGACAGATGGTGGTGTTGCCAACCAGGAGAGGCCGAGATTGCAGGGAGTGGGCACGTCATGGTTTGGAGGTCTCTGGAGTTGGATTACACATACATTTTTACTACTGTTATCATTATTATGTAAAAATTACATTTTGCAAAATGCTTTTCTACTGTTGTTTTTATGGGATTCTGATAAAAGTTTCATGGGATGTGGGACTGTGGGAGACAAGTGTTTAATTGGTAGAAAAAAACTGTAGGTATTAGGGACCTTGCGTGGGGTAGTCAGCAGCAAAAGTCAGGCTAGGGGACAGGACACTGGAGATAATATCCTTAAGTTTATTCTTTTTTAGTTCTTATATTTAGAGTCATGGAGCCTTCAATTCAAATGGATAAAAATACAATATGTAAAAGAATGAACAGCAGGTTTACCTGGATGAGAGGGAGCATGAGAGAGTCGGAGCACCAGGCTTCTCCCTTCCACTCCCCTCTCATCCAAGACCCAGAGAAGCCCTGGGTTCCCAGGAGCCAATTACACCCTTGATACCTTAACTCCTTCAGCCTCCCAGCTGTCCCCGGCTTTCCTAACAAGCCATTCGATCAAGAGCATTTTAATCCTATGTTGCCTGGGCTGCGAAGGACAGTAGGGTATTTTCGAGAACCTGAAGCATTTCAGGCCCCTCTGGGCCTTCACACGGGTTATCTTACTTAATCCCTTCCTGGGCAGCTTCACTATGCCACCCATTTGACACCTGATCGAGTCAAGGCTCAGAACCCAAATTAGATGGTTCAGCAGCAAGCCAGGGTATGAACCTGGAGTTTTTACAACCATCTTGTGTCTGTTGTTTTTTTTTAAGTAGAGGGTATAGGCTTGCAAGGGACATGGCACAGGACTGCCAAAAAAGGCGAACTAGTGAAAGAGGAGGCACAAGCCTCCTTCTGTGCCACGTGCTACTCTTCCCCTCCCGTTGCTTTTCCCCACGTGTTGGCGCTAAGACCCTGGGAGACAGAGTGGCTTTGCTTTCACCTTAATTAGTGCAGCGATTTGCTAAATTTTGTTTTTCCCTTTTTAAGAGTGTTAATCAATTTTAGCTCAGAATAGATTGGAATGGCACACAAATTACCACAACAATCCCCAAATGCTAAATTCTGAACATCTCGATCAACTTCAGAGCCTGAAAAATGGGAAAATCAGAAACTCAGGCTGGCATCTCTGTGATCTATTTAAAATGTTATGACTCTAAAATGAAAAGATAATGGCTTTATGCAGTTTGGAACAAGCAATTTGCTAGAATCAGCCTCATGCCTAGGTGTTTAGTCCTTCCCAAGGTGATTGGAGAGAGAGCATCTGTGTGTTTCTGCAAAGTTACATGGTCCTCTAATAACAGCAATTTGTTAAATCCACAAGCATTACAGGGCACTAACCATGCAGTAGAAATACAGAAAAGAATAAGATGTGCCCCCTGCTCCCTCCCCAATTAAGAAGGTTCTAAACATCAGTAGACAGACACAGGAGTTGAGAACATCTGCCTCTTTCCGAGATAAGTCATGGAAGGAAGGTTCTCAGAGGAAGTGGCGATGCAGCTGAGCCCTGAAGGAGGAGTAGGACTTTTGACAAGGTCTGTGGAAGGGCATGTCAGATAGAAGGAACAGCATAAGCAAAAGCTCAACTATAGGGGAGGGGTCAGGAACACCAGAAGTAGCTTCTTAGAGCTAAGAAATGGGGTAAATTTTCAGGAAGACAAGAGCCAGAATACACAGTGCATCTTAATCAGAGTGTGACTCTCAATCCCGATGCAGGCAACGTGGCACTACAGAAGGGTTTTAAGCAAGGGAATGACATGACCAAATGGGTCTCATTTGGTTAAAACCCTCCAGCGTAACATAATAATTAATATTTATTCAGCACAGTCTTTTAAAGCACATTCATATACATCCTCTCACTGAACCTCGTAATTACCCCATCAAGTTGGTTTTATAATCACCTTTCTACTAATGACAAAACAGACCCAGAAAAGGTGTAAGTTTATCTACTTTGTGTCTTAGGACCAGTAAATGACAATACACAAATTCAAACCATGGCCACTGAGCTCTGAGTTCAACACTGACCTCACTGGGTAACAGAATTCTCTGGATAACAGCCACCATAAACCACTTTCAGAGTGGCTCCCAGCCTCTACAGAAATCCTTGGTGGTCAGCATTGCACAGATGTATATGCATTCTGTGGCAGTAAAGTGGTCACTTTAATGCTTTTGATAAATTAGGTTCAGGTGGGAAATAACTTCTATAGTTATATCCTGGACCATTTCCAGCTGAGAGCTGAAACTGTACTAAATTGCAAAGAAGAAAAGCTTCCAGGTGAGTGGACCAGGGAGGCACCTCTCCCTCCCACTTGTACCTTGAGCTCATCTGCATTGTAGAAGTCCACACGCACGGCAGGCACCATCCAGGTCTGGAAGAGTGTGGCCAGGATCTGCTCTGCGATGGAGTCAGCGATGAGGTGGAAGTGCAGAGGGTTCCGCCTATGGGAAACAAAAGAAAGAAGGGTCAGGAGAGCTAAGGCCTTTGAATTCCAGCCATAAACACACTCCTCAACTTGGCATGTTACCAAACCAGGGTTCACTGGAGGATGTCAGAGCTAAAACAGAGAGCAGACATGTCACCCAACCTCAGGATCACATAGAGGTGACTACCAAGGACCGGAGAGGGTCAAATCACTTGTGACACTCAACTCAAGCCGACCACCATACCTGTTATTAGGGCATTTGTGTTTCCAAAATCTTGAGTAGAGCACACATGACCCTTTATTTCTACCCCATAGACATACCAGCGCTAATGCAGAACATGGACAGAGGACAAAGCCTTCTGTATGGAGTGGGTGTGATAGCACCAAATTCTGTTTTCTGCTGCTTCTCCAAAAGAAACCCAGGCATCCAAGATCATCAACTTTCCTTCACTTTTTAACATACATACAGTTTTTATTCATTCCAACCTGCTTTTCCTGAGGCAGCTCCCGAAATACAAAGCAGCATCATTATACCAGGACAGAGCTTCTGAGGCCAAATGGAAATGGGTTCGAATCCCAGTGCTGGCATCTATTTGTGGGGACTCTGAGCATGTTACTTATATCTTCTCACTGTTAATTCTTCATCCCAAAATATGTTGATAAAAACCTCCTTGTTGGGCTACCGTGTCTTTATCAGTTAGATCAGATAAGCAGCACAATATATAATGCATATCAATAATAAACAGAGACAGGATAATAATAAACAGCAGGTATGCCTTCTTGAGGGACTGCCAGGCACAAAACAATAGCTCATTCTGGAAGAACGACTGTCAGGAATACTACCTTGCTAGTAAAAATACCAACATAAGTTGTAATGCCATGAGTGAGCACTTCTGGGAAGTTGAAAGACGATAATGACCTGCTCCCCTGACCTCAAGGAGCTCTTATTATTTAGAGAGAGGTGACCCATGATTAAATATACATGAGGTGGAAGGTGATAATGTGCTACTAACCAGAAGAGCACGCCAAGCTCTATGGGGGGAAAGAAAGAGAAGGGCTAATTCTGTCTGGGTCAGAAGGATGTGTAAGAGCTGGGGGAAGCAGGGCCCTCAGGGACAAATGACTTTAACAGGAGACAAAGGGAGAGAGATGCCATCCAAGGAGAATAAGAGACTCTGCTAAGCACAGGCTGTGCTGGGAATGAGGTGGGGAGAGGAAGCGGTTAGCAGGGACTCTAGGGTTAGAGCAGAGAAGGGAGAAATGAACACCCAGTTCAGCAGTCTGGACTTCACCAGCTAGGCGATGGGGCTAACAACCTTCCTCCCAGCTCCCAGCCTCCTGTGTGGTCACTCTCTAGCCCTGTCCCAAGTTCTAGACATACTGACTATCTCTTTGTTTCTTATGCCAACATGCTCCATCCACCTGGGCCTTTACATGTTTGGCTTGCTCTGCAGAAAACCCTCTTGCATTTTCTCATTCATTAAGTACTTAATGAGCACCTACTACATGCCAAATGAGGAGCAGGATGCTGGGGACATGGTGTTAAGACATACCATCCCAACTCTCATGACTCTCAAGGAGAGTCTTGCCCTCTCCTTCCTACCTCCCTGCCCCCATCCCATTCCCCTTTCAGCATTTGCTTATCTCTTACCCAGCCCTCACTTCTGATGTCTGCCATCATTTGCTCCGAGAATCCTTCCCTAACCACCCATGACTACATCAGGGGGCCTCTCTAAAGGAAAGTCATCTCAGCACCACATATCCATCCTGAGGTTGCAATCACCTGCTTGCTTATCTACATGCCCTCTTGACAGTGAGCTTAGGGAGGACAAGGATTATGCCAGTTATGTTCAGATGGACAGCCCTAGGACCTAGGGGCTGGAATGGTTCCTACATGAACAACGGGTGACACACACCAGAGAGATAAGGGGAACAGAGGCAGAAACATCATTGAGGAGATGACACTGGTGAATGTGAAGCGAGACTGACTAAGCATCTGGGGAAGAGCAACAAGGAGGCTGGAGCTGGAGCGACTTCAGGAGAAGACGTCTTTGATATGGGGGAAAACGGAGAGGATGAAGCAGAATGGGACACTGAGGCTCCCGGGTTGGCAGTGACGTTGCCAGGACGGGGATACAAGAAGAAAGGCACGCTGCAGGAAGAGGACGCATTTGGGACTGGACCCACCAAACTTAAAGGGTGGGGGGCAAAGCCAGGTGGGGCTGGATGGATGAGCCTAGACCTGAAGAAAGTCATTACCCAAGGCTCACCTGCCATACACGTAACAGGTGCTCAAGGGTGATAAACTGGAGAAAGGATCAAAGCAGCAATCAGTACTGCAGCATTTCCCTGGGGATCCATGGCCTGAACACTGCAAATTAGCCCATGAAACTGTCTACACCAGGGAGAAGAGACATGCTGGCTGTATAGTTTCCTTGAAAGCCTTCTAAGAAGCTTCCCTGTGAGAAGCTGCCAGTAGGACTGAGTGATACCTGGTGGCCTGAAGGGGCGATGGTGTGTTTGTTCAACGGCCAGTGACTTACCCAAAGGCTAGTCAGAGGCAGCTATTCATTACTGGGAAGACGGGTGGTCCAGTTGGCCCTCAGCCTTGGCACAACCACTCCCCCCCTTCCTGGAGCCACAGCGGCATCTCATGCATTGAGAATGGGTAAAGGTGAGCCTGGACAACTGCCACCTTGCATTTTTATCCACACTGGTGAGATGGCGTAATTTTAGACACAGGGTGACAAGACCAACAGGTCATACTTGCTTCAAAACATCATGCTTTCCCCATGTCTGTAACTTTGCTTGTGCTGTTTATGGAATACTCCCCTCCTGCTTTTAGGGGTCCCACGCATCCTTCACATTTCCCTTAGCAACTTCCGTCCTCCTGGAAAGCTTCTTTGAGCCTTCCTTGTCGCTGTCCCTGCTAACTCGGCACCTCATCCGAAGAGCAAATCTAACCTTTATAGCCTGGCTTTGGAAAACATATTCAAACACCTCGCTCCTTGCTGGTACTGTGAGGCCCGAGGACAGAAACCATCTTCTCATCTCCATCCCCAGGGCCCAGGAGGCTGGCACATAATGGGTGCGTGACAAACACTCGTAGAGCAGGAAGCAACAGGCAATGCCCCTCCTTTTATGTCACCATCAACATTACCATAAGACAATAACAACAGCCACTGCACACCCCTCATCAGTGGTTTGGAGCTGGGCACCCCCCAGCATGCCTAGGTTGGAACTCTGGCTGTAGTCAATACTGACTGAGTGACCATAAGCCAAGTTATTTCTTCAACTTCTTCATCTTCAAAACAGGAACAATAATGGTAAGTAAGCAATACTACATTGGCAAACATGAGGATTAAGTGACATAAAATAAAGTGCCTAGCACATGGTAAGAGATCAATATTTGTTAACTACGGGTGGTCTGAATGTTGGTGCCCCTCCCCCAAATTCATACATAGAATTCTAGCCCCCAGGGTGATGGTATCAGGAGGCGTTACCTTAGGGAGGTGATCAGCTTGTATGGGCAGAGTCCTCCTGAAAAAGGATTAGTGAGTGACCTTAGAAAAGAGGTTCCAAAGAGATGCTCTACTCCCTCCAGCATGTGAGGACACAGAGAAGTCGGCAGTCTGCAACCAGGAAGCAGGCCCCCGCCAGCCACCAGAACCAGACCCCGTGGATGCCACAATCCTGGACGTATTGGCCTCTAGAACTGTGAGAAATACGTATCTGCTGTTCAGGAGTTAACCAGTCTCTGCATTTTGTTACAACTGCCCAAACAGACTAGGACAACTATTATCAGCATTAACTTATGAAACTGTTATTTTCTCTAATGTTTTTGGCATCACTTTTCAAATGAAGCACTTGGCAGTTAGCTCCTCCATCCACAGGCAAAACATGAGCTGAGTGAAGAAACGCCCCACAGAAAACCGTCGAGCTGCAAGGACGTGCAAGGCACACAGGGACTGAAGCAATGGAGGAGCCCAGAGTCCTCTGTCCAGGCAGCTGTCAATCTGGCAGAGACAGAGAGAACACAAGGAACTACGTCAATGTGAGAACAGGAGTGTGCCAGTGGCACACCCACCAGGGGGCCACTTCCGTAGACTGGCACAGACCGCGAGGTGTTCCCCTAGAGCTGGACGGTGAACAGCGTGAATGACCGGACAGGATGGCTCTGCAGTGAGGAGCACTATAGCCAGAGGGCTGTGAGGGTGGAGGGATCTGGGAAGTTCACAGGGACTGCATGGCAACGGAAGGGGATGCTGGGATGGGAAAAAATGTTGGAAGGCATCCTGTAGGATGCAACAGAATGAGGAGGACAGGTAGAAAAGTTCACAGGCGGTCTGTGAAAGAGCAAGAGTCTTACGTGGGTGGATCATACACCACGTACTGGACACCTACCGTAGGCCAGGATGAGAGAAGATGAGAAGAAAGAGAGAGGCTTAATGGCAGCCTGGCCCCGAGCGTGCTGACTTCCTAAGAACTGGGAATTTCATTCTCTAAGGTCAAGAGGACCAACAAGGCGTGGGGGCTCGGCAGGGGGCAGACCAAAGTGACCTGGGGAGTCAGTCTGGTTACAGAGCAGAAGACGGACCGGCATGGGTGGGAGGAAAAGCTCTCAGAGGAAGAGGGTGCAGGCATCCACACACGGCTCTCCCCTTACATTTCTTGCTCTGGTCCCAGTATCCCTCCAGAAGGGAGAGTAAATCCAGAAAGACACTTAGCTTGTCTTCAAGGCAAAACTAGGTGTTTGCACCATCAGGGGTCAGTGTACCTCACTGCTTGCTGTGTGAAAGTCTATGAGAATGCTCAGTCAGAGCACACAGCCCAGGGGACCGCAGAGGCCTGGCAGTCGGCTGACGCTGCCTGAGCCATGAACGTGAGCAGCCGCAGCTGTCTCCTGCTCCTGTGGTCCTGCTCGTCAGGTGGGATGCCCGGAGAAGCTCTGCTCCTGCTCTGCCTGCAGTCATGTCACGGGCACGCGGGTCCTGCCTCCCGCTCTTCTCAGTGGTC